TTTCACGTGGCAGGTTCTTGATGACCTCCATGGAAGTGATCATTTCCCCATCCTTGTTTCCTTTTTCTCTTTTCGCCCTTCCCTCTCTTTCCCTAGGTGGCAGTTTGCTAAGGCAGACTGGACCCTATTTACCCTCAGTGCTGCTCTCTCTGACCTCTCCCTTCTGCCTCTCTCTCGCGCTCTCCTCCTTTTTCATGACACTGTCTTCAACGCTGCCCTCCGCTCTATTCCTCGCTCTTCCTCTCGGGGTCCACGTAAGTGCGTTCCCTGGTGGAATGCGGACTGTGCTCGGGCTGTCCGCTGTAAGCGTGCAGCCTGGAAGAGGCACCGCCGTAGGCAGACGACCGATTCTTTTCTTTTCTTTCGGAAAGCGAGTGCGGTGGCCCGTAGGGCCATCCGTACGGCTAAACGTGAATGTTGGGCATCTTATGTCTCAACAATTACGTCCGAAACCCCTCTGGCCCAGATCTGGAAGCGTATCCGCAAGATAGCGGGTAAGTTCGTTCCCGATGTTTCACCGGTCCTTCACCTCCATGATACTCTTGTGGCGGACCCGTTGCAGGTCGCTTCCGAACTGGGTTCCCACTTTTCTTCTGTTAGCTCTGGTCTTCATCTTCCCCAATCTTTCCTTCTTCGTAAACCTGTCCTTGAGTCTCGTCCTTTAGATTTCTGCACTCATCTTCAGCTTCCCTATAATGATCCCTTCTCTCTCTCTGAACTTCGTTCTGCTCTGGCCCTCTGCGGTTCTACGGCGGCGGGCTCCGATGGTATTCATTATGAGATGCTTCGCCATCTCCCTCCGAGCACGTCTCAGTATTTACTGAGTCTGTATAATCGGATCTGGGAGTCGTCGTCAGTCCCTGAGGACTGGCTCGATGCCGTTGTCCTCCCTGTTCGCAAACCGGGGTCTCTGGGTACTTCCCCTAAGGACTTTCGCCCTATTGCTCTCACAAGTTGTGTCTGCAAACTTTTTGAACGTATGGTTAACGTTCGTCTGATGTGGTTCCTGGAACACCATCACCTCCTCTCCCCTTCTCAATTTGGTTTCCGCAAGTGCCGCAGCACGACAGATGTCCTGGTGAACTTGGAGGTCTATATTCGTACTGCTTTTGCTGCGAAGACCTCCGTTGTTGCCGTCCTTTTTGACCTGGAAAAGGCTTACGACACCACTTGGCGTTATCATATCCTATCTCAACTTCATTCTTTTGGCCTTCGTGGTCATCTCCCTCTCTTTCTCCGCAGCTTCCTCTCTCGTCGTTCCTTTCGGGTGCACCTTGGTACCGCTCTCTCTCCCTCTTTTCAGCAATACGAAGGTGTGCCCCAGGGTAGTGTTCTGAGCACTACTCTTTTTCTGGTTGCCCTCAATGGTCTTCTTTCCTCTCTTCCTTCTGGTGTCTTCTCCGCTCTCTATGTCGATGATCTTACCCTTTGTTGTCAGGGTGATGATTCGCCTCTCCTTCAACGCCGGCTTCAACTTGCAATTGATGCCGTGTCGTCTTGGGCCACTGATCATGGCTTCAAGTTCTCTACTTCTAAGACTTGTGCCATGACATTTACGCGGAAACGGGTTGTTCTTCGTCCCTCTTTGTCACTTTATGGTCATCCCCTTGAATACAAAGATTCCGCGAAGCTTTTGGGGTTATTCCTTGACACTCGTTTGTCTTGGTCTCCCCATATCTCTTACCTCCGTGTTGAGTGCTCTAAGGCCCTTACCCTCCTTCGGGTCTTGTCCCATAATTCTTGGGGGGTAGATAGGCGCACTCTCCTTGCTTTACATTCTTCTCTCGTCCTGTCTAAGCTCGATTATGGTTGCCCTGCTTACTCGTCTGCTTCTCCTTCTACTCTTCGCCGTCTTGATGCTTTGCACCATACTGGGTTGCGCCTCAGTTCTGGTGCCTTTCGTTCGACTCCCGTCCTTAGCTTGTATGTTGACACTGGCTTCCTGTCTCTCCAGGACCGCCGTGATCGCTACTGTCTTCGCTATCTTGCGCGGTCCTTGCAACATCCTTCCTCTCGCCTCTGTCGTGCTTTAACTTTTACCCCTCCTGCGGTTCCTGTTCCTCTTCACCACCTCCCTCTTTCTGTCCGGTTATCTCGCCTGCAGGATTCTCTTTCCGTTCGTATTTCTGATGTTTCTCCTCGTGTTGTTCCTTCTTTGCCCCCGTGGAGGGTCCCTCTTCCGCGGTTTTGTACTTCCTTGACCCGTATCACTAAAGCTTTTACCCCTCCTACGGTTCTAAAACGCCTTTTCCTCGAGCACTTTTCTTCTCACTCCCGCTCCGTTTCTGTCTTCACCGATGGGTCTAAGTCAGCGGACGGTGTTGGCTACTCTGTTGTTTTTCCTGATCGCACTTATATGTGTCGCTTGCCTCCGGAGACTAGCATCTTTACAGCGGAACTTTATGCTATTCTCTATGCTCTTCGTCTCCTACTTTCTCGTTGTCAGTCTTCCTTTGTAGTTGTTGTTGACTCTCGTAGTGCCCTCATGGCTCTCGGGTCCTTTAATCCGGTTCATCCAGTGGTTGTCGAGATCCAGCATTGGCTGTTTCTCGTTCATAGTAAATTTAAGTCGGTTGAGTTTTGTTGGGTTCCCAGCCATATTGGTGTGTCTTTAAATGAGCGTGCGGATGCTGCCGCCAAGGAAGCTGTCCGCTCTTGTCCCATCTCTCGTAAGGGCATTCCGTATTCCGACTTTTACCCGGTTATCCATTCCTCAGTCCTTACCCGTTGGCAGGCTTCTTGGTTGTCTGTTACTGGTAACAAGCTACGTTCTCTTAAATGTTGTGTTTCCTCGTGGCAGTCCTCCTTCCACCGTAACCGGCGGTGGGAAACAGCTCTGGCGAGGTTGCGTATTGGCCATACTCACTTAACCCATGGTCACTTGATGGAGCGCCGCCCTGCTCCTTATTGTCCTAGTTGCATTGTCCCTCTTACGGTCGTGCATGTCCTTCTTGAATGTCCTGACTTCCAGGACGAGCGTATGTCTTGCTTTCCGACCGCCCCTCGCGGTCACCTGTCCCTCGATAGAATTCTTGGTGACTCGGATACTTTTGATATCGTTCGCCTTATGCGTTTTTGTTCTCGTATTGGCATCCTTGGTGATATTTAGCGCCCTCTGATTATTTTGCGTATTTGATGGTGCTACATAGCCTTCCCGGTTTGGTGCCTTCTTTTGATAATTACTTACTTACTTACATAGCAGTCACTATAGTGATAATACATAGCATTCACTATAGTGATAATACATAGCAGTCACTATAGTGATAATACATAACAGTCACTATAGTGATAATACAGTCACTATAGTGATAATACAGTCACTATAGTGATAAAACATAGCAGTCACTATAGTGATAATACATAGCAGTCACTATAGTGATAATACATAGCAGTCACTATAGTGATAATACATAGCAGTCTAACCCTACTTATATTTTACTTCATACACTGAGCAATATTGGAAGATATTCTTATCCTGTACCAAGATTTTGCTAGTGGGGACTTCTTTCTTTCGGATCGAAGTCAAAGGAAAAGAAATGGATGCAAGAAATGCTTCTAGGAATTGTGGAGAAGTTATTGAAGATTTTGAGAAGAACAAGAAGTTTGACTTTGATGATAAAGAACGACTCATCCACACACACATGTACAAAGACTCTGTAATATGTAAATAGTGTATAGAAAATAAGTATTTTGTTATAGCAAGTTAAGACTAAAATATTGAAGAAACTCTATGAAGAGGAGAATTACATGTTCTGTGATAATGAAACACTTGTTCACTGAGAATTATACAACTGTATATGTAATGTTGTATTGTAAAACTTATGTATATATGATTTATATTGTATTTTATTAAATAAAGATAAAAAAATTAATCTTTCATATAGAATTGGGTAGCAGCACATTGCTATGTATACCTGAGCTTGTTAATATAAAAAATATATTATTATTATTATTATTATTATTATTATTATTATTATTATTATTATTATTATTTACACTTATTGCAAGGGGAAAAAACATCTAAATTAACAATATAGGATTTTGTCATGTGTGATTGACCTTAGTAAATAATATAAGAAATCATACCTATCATACAATTATTATATATTTGATTAGAGAGCAGGTAAACGTGTGGTAAATATCCTTAGGAGCCATGATGCCCCAACCCTTGGATAGGCGATGAAGGGAGAACCTTCAAGTGATTGGCAGGATATTGGAAGGATGGGAGATGACGCATGGGGGGGGGTGGATATTGGGATGGGGGACGTTAAGAGATGGAGTTTTTATTTTGTCAGGGATATTCCTGCACGGGGCCCTAAACCCTACAGTATCTACATTCCCCTTCTTAGTTGCAAGTTTTGTTGTTTCATCTGCAATTGCATTCCCTATTATTCCGATTGATTGATTGCTGAAGATTAAGCCACCCAAAAGGTGGCACGGGCATGAATAGCCCGTAATATTCCGACATGACTTGGTACCCAGTTGGTAATGATCCGATGACCTTGTGTTTTGAGTGCATACATGCTATAACATTTGTGATAATATGGATGTTGACACGTAAGTGTTCTTCTTGTAAGGTTTAAGTGGCAGCTTTTGAATCTGTTTGTATGATAATGTTTTATTGGTGATCAGCAAGAGTATGTTCCAATGCCTCTTGAATGGCTAGCGTCTCTGTTTATTAAGTTGAGCATCCGTTCGAATCTCCAACTATAGAGTTAGTTTTAGTAGAGTTAGTTTAGAGTAGAGTTTTCCTGCCTTAACTGCAGCCCCAGATTCTTGTCCCTGCTGGTCTATTGATCCATGTGTGTAGTAACCACTTACAGTGAACGGTAGAGCGACGGTCTCACTTCATGCAGGTCAGCGTTCAATCCCCGACCGTCCAAGTGGTTGGGAGCACCATTCCTTCCCCCCGTCCCATTCCAAATCCTTATCCTGACCCCTTCCAGGTGCCATATAGTCGTAATGGCTTGGGGCTTTCCCCTGAAAACTCCCTCCCTCCCCGTATGTGTAGTATGTGAAGCTGTTACCAAGTTTGCTTCTATATCCATCAGTGCAATGATGTGTAGCAGCTGGGGGATGGGTATGATTCATTTCACACACAGAGATCACAATAACGTGATGCATCAAATGAACAAAAGATCCAGTAAGTTCAGTAGAACTTCGGTTTCAACCCTTTTAACCCTGTCGTAGCTCAGTCGATTAAGGCAGTGTCTGGGATGCTCCCGGACGCAGGTTCGAATCCTCGTCACGGCCCTTGTGGATTAGTTCATGATTCATTTGTCCTTGATTGAGACATAAACTGAGTCTGCTGGCAAGGATTCCCAAGAGTCTTCCTTAACGAAGTCTACGTGTATGTCGTCAACACCCCCCCCCCCACACAGTAACTGTATTTGTGATCTGGAATGTGTTGGGTGGTCTAAGACGGTGGAGTGGGGTCCTCGACGAGCAGAGGGAGGCGGGGTCTTTGATGAGTGGAGTGGAAGCTTTCATTCAAAATTATCTGCTACCAGAAATTTTAGCAAAATATACCTAGCTTGCTAGCTATAGGTAGTAAATGTGGGTGATTGTAACCTTTACAGCGCTGCCCACTGGATTTTGAAGGGGGGGGGGGAGGGTGTGGTGCATGATAAACAACAAGTTAGGAAAGTAGTTCACTGCAGATGTACGTTGCTAAGCTTAGAGACTGTAGTTGTGATCGTTCTCGAATCCATTGTTGATATAATCATTGATCTGTGAAACAAGATTATCTGTACTGTAACTTGCTCAGGTAAATGAGTTTTGGGGGTTCAGTTCCCCCAAATGAGTTCATGATATGTCTGTGTTATATATTCCACGACCACAGAAAGGATATGAGGTGCACAATAAATTAACTAAGCAGGATGCAACCCACAACAGTTGTCTAACTCCCTGCAAGTACCTATTGACTGCTATAGGTGAACAGAGGGATCGAGTATAATGAAACATGCCCACAACACTAGCAAACTGACAGTTTAGAGGCGGGACCAAAGAGCCGAAGCTCACCCCTCACAAGCACAACTTGGTAAGTACACCGAAACTGTTTAACGAGGCGATGATGATGAAGATTAAGCCATCCAAAAAGTGGCACGGGCATGAATAGCCCGTAAGTGGTTTACCCTTTTGAGCCATAACCAGTATCAGTAGATGACACTGTAGATCTGTGGAGGTGCGACTGCACCCTGCGTGACGGGAGATGTCTCCCGTCCTTAACGAGGCAAATGTAAACACAGTTTCTATCAGTAAAATGTGAGGGCGGGAGAGCGGTGTTGAGGGACAACAAGCGCCCTTATGAGTTACTGTCAGCCACCAGCGGCACGATGCGAGTGTCAGTGGCCTTAAGTTGTTTATGAACGCATAGAAAACGTAAGCAATTAGGGGAACTATAATAATGTAGTTCTATATATATAGCTAGCTACAGATATAGCTAGCTATATCCAGCTAGCTATATAGCTAGCTATATACAGATATAGCTAGCTTCTAGATATAGCTAGTACAGATAGATTATTCCTGAGGGTTGAGCCAAACGCTACATGGGGATTTTTTTTATTACAATCCAGATTTATATACTCAAGTTTTATAGCATCAAGTAGTAAAGATAAAGTAGATATACTGTGCTATGAAATGGAGCGCATATAATTTACTAGGAAGTCTTATATAAATTCATTATTTTGTGATTACACACATTATTTTATTATTTCTAATTCATTATTATCCAGTATAGCCTATTAAAGTTACAGTCTGGTGGTGCAGCCATTTTATGATTAATCGTCCACTAAATTTTCTTTTAAGAGTTTTCCACTATAAAAAACATTTATCTTAATGTAGTTGTAAACATAACAATCTTAATGATATCCAACAAGCAATAGTAACAATATCTACGATACTTCGTCATGTTACTCTCGACGGTCTCAAGAGCGGTCTAGCCACCGTAGGGAGGCACCGGACAGACGGTCTCGTACTGGGTCTTGACAGAAGTTTGGGTCTGGGTGACGTAAATATTGTCCGTCTTGGTTTGATAAGTGGTGGAGAGTACGGTGTGGGTGGTGGTGATGGTGGTGGGGACCTCCACCTGCTTGGTCTCGGTGTGGTAGTTGGTGATGTTGTCAGTGAGGACGGTGGTGACGGTCTGGGTCACGTCCCGAGTGACGGTAGCACTCTGGTACACCGTTGTGGTGGTGAACACCGGTGCGGTGCTCGTCTCCTGCGGGGGTACAACACGTCCTTTAGTTACATCAATATTAAAATGTCCTCGTGACACCAATGTGAAAATTGTGTTGTACAACTATTCCTACAGCGGTTCGGTGACGCGTTTTAATGTCATCCGGATCTCTTACGGATTAATGAAAAACTAAAGCTATTGGGAACACTAGTATATACAAGTCAACATTAATTAGCAACATTTTTACTTTGTTAATATGAACCAATGCGACAGTAAGGGTGGACGGGACACTAAGAACGTAATAATTACACATCCAACTTTTAATATTAGCTTGGAAACTCTTTCAGTGTAATTGTTATATAGATATTAAGGTGTTGGTGGCGGCGAGGTGACTTACCGTGACCTCCTTGGACTGTGTTGTGGTGTGGGTGACGGTGACGGGGGTGCAGGTGGGGGTGGGCACTGTGTACGGAAGTGGTTTAGGTGGGTAATGGGGAATGCTGGTGGCAGCTACCACCAGAGTCATCAACACTGCAACCGCCTTCATCCTGCGAGTGGCGAAGCCATTACACGTGAATATTATGGCTAACGTGAATGTGTTGGTGCTAGTAGACTTAATTAGAAACATGAAAACATTTACAACAAAGTTTTAGATAATATACAGTATTACTGGCAGGGAAGAGCAACAGTTGAGACGACGAAGGAAGGACTTCATCAAAAGGCATTCAAAGCAAAACATCAATTGCTTCCTTTTATGTTTCCCTCTACGTTATTGGCAGCTCTGTCCTCTACCTCCTGTTTTGCTCCCTGGTCGTTCTACAGATCTACAACTCTAATTCTGAACCAGTGTTTGCCTGGTGGGACCACAGAAGCAGCAGACCATAACCCTACCAACTGAGCCACGAGCACCCACAGTAAAGAAGGATGCCAGACACCCAACTGGAACTTTATCTCTTCCTTGAGGTGCCACTTGGGCATGAAGGTGATCTACGTCCCACTCATGTACACTGCTGTCCACCATACAGTCTCGGGTAGCCTTATAAATGCAGTTGTACGTAAGAATATAAATACAGAAAATACAAGGGGAAGATAACAGTTTTACTTGAAAATTTGTTCATAAATTATTAACTACAGTGCAGGCAATAATAATAATAATAATAATAATAATAATAATAATAATAATAATAATAATAATAATAATAATATATATTGTAATGAAAATTCCCAAGATGCCCTGGAATATGCAACACCAAGATGCTCAAAATATGCAACACTATTAACAATGAGCTTTGATGATTTTTCCACTCATAACAAGCGTTTCATTATAGACCTTCATATACGGCCATTAGTGATATACACAACGATATGGGACAACAAACTTATAGAGCTTACGTCAAATAAGTCATGAACCCGTTGGTTCCTTCTCGCTGTGTGGTGTCTTTAGCATTTCCTGACTATATATATAAGCTGGAACTGTAAGTGGGCGGAGCAACAGGTGAAGGAGACTCCTCCCTCAGCCCCACCCACAGGTCCACCAACAGCCCCACCCACAGGTCCACCAACAGCCCCACCCACAGCCCCACCTACAGGTCCACCCACAGCCCCACCCACAGGTCCACCAACAGCCCCACCCACAGGTCCACCAACAGCCCCACCCACAGCCCCACCTACAGGTCCACCCACAGCCCCACCCACAGGTCCACCCACAGGTCCACCCACAGGTCCACCCACAGGTCCACCCACAGGCTCACCCACAGCCCCACCCACAGGTCCACCCACAGGTCCACCCACAGGCTCACCCACAGCCCCACCCACAGGTCCACCACCGGGCTGAGGCTGGGCGTGGCCTCACTCTTTTGTTATGTGCATTATCTTAATATTTTCTCTAAATTCTTGCCGTAATATCTTGTCTGCTTGCTAATAATAACTGTATTAGTAATCTAATAATAACAGAAAATAGTCTTTCTAATAAATATAGTTGTACGTGCACAAAGATATCACATTAACGTGATGTACCAATGAGAAAATCAGTAAGAGCAACTGGGATGATTCGAACCAATGATCTTAGCAAACAATGATCCCAACCAATGATCCCAAGCAAACTCCTTAGACCACTACACCATGACATGGTTAAAGACAATGCAATCTGGGATTCAAGTGAATCTTTAGGAGTCTTACGGGCCCTGTACGTGTTGCTAAATTATTGGCATGTGTCATTATAATAGTTTACCAGAAATTATCAGACGCAATACTAGCAAATACTTTTTAATATCGAAAAATGCATTTGGGGCTTAACAATGCACAATGTAACTACCAGGTTAACAACGTTAGCTTGTATCAGATTGATGGAAAAAAGGACCTTGGAGTAGGAATCAACCAATTACTGAAAGTAATGACCATTACAACCCCCAAAACAAAGTGGGAGCTGCAGCAAAAAATGCAAACCAAATCCTGGCTAGAAATAGTCAAACGAAATTTTTACTTCAAGGAAAAGACGATAAGTATTCAGGTGCACAAGTCTTGTGCGGCCCCACGTTCATTATTGTACCCAAGCGTGGAGACCTCGTCCCCAGGAAGACATCTGCTTTCGAGAATGTTCAGCACCGGGGAACAAAAATAATTCCAGAACTAAGTCGACTCTCATACCAAGAACGGTTGAGGGCCATAGGGCTAACAGCACTGTAAACCAGACATGACAGGGCTCATGGAAATGTTCCATGTTTGAAAACTTAAATTACTGAACAATTTGGAGTATATTAATCTGGAAAGAACACTTCTTCAGAAGAGTAGATGTAACACGAACAAGGAGCAACGGTTTCTACCTCAACAAGCTATAGTGTAGACAGAAAAAGAGATCAACTCTTCCTCAGAGCAAATCCATTAGCAAGAGAAAAAAAACCACCTGGGATAGTTATCTAGATATTTGTTATGATCTAAAACATATTACGGTTTCAATAATAGTCTGCTTGTAAACTGGCAAGTGAACCGTTATCATAAACAGAGAATATTCTAAAGTTATATATTTATTATATTATTAATTGTTGGTTTAAAATATAAAAAGTGTTTTCTTTAAAACGGTCTGAACAATTTAGCTTTCTCTAAACAAAATTCAAGGGTACACTTAAATAGTTTTCGAATTCCATATTTCACATTTTAGACCATTAATTAATTTAATTATCTATCTATCTATCTATCTATCTATCTATCTATCTATCTATCTATCTATCTATCTATCTATCTATGTCCTGTCTGTCTGTCTGTCTGTCTGTCTGTCTGTCTGTCTGTCTGTCTGTCTGTCTACAAGAAGGTACATTGGGTTTGTGAGAGTACATAACATTGGTGCTCTTACACTCTTGCAAAGCCACTAACACGCTTAGCGTTTCAGGCGGGGACAGTATTACATCGTATTAACGTAACCAAACGTAGTAAAACCTAACTTAACCAAACCTTTACCTAAAATAACCTTAACGTAACCTAACCATGGATAGAGAGTTGACAATAGCATTAATTGCGTAATAGTTTTGAATACATTACTTTAATGGGATTTCCTCCCTGAGGACAGTGTGTTATAAACCTCCCTGGAACCGCCTACCCGCCAAAGGTGTAAATGCCAAAACGCTGCAGAATTTCAAAATCCAATACGATAAAATCATTAGGACAAATGGGGGGACCTTTGGAAACCCGCTGGCTTCCTGTCCCCGTCGAGGCCACTTGAGAGACAGTGGCCCGCAGGTACATAGATAATATTTGTGTGCGTGTTTATAAATTAAAATTGTTATAATTGTTGACCATAATAGTGCAAGCTGACTATTTTAAGAACACTTTCATGTTCCTCTCAGTACACTCGCAATTATTTTCGCATATGCTAAACGTTACTTTTTCAACAGATAATAAATTACTTTGACGTACACGAGTCGGAATATGAAAGCGACACCATTCGTGACGTGACGTGCGGGTTGTTGCGGCGCTGGATGGCGGTAATGGAGACGTCTGGTGGTTGGGGAACACTTTTACAAGCTGTTGGATGAGACGGAGGGAGGGGGGGGGGGAAGGAGGGGAATTTACAAGTAAATTTATTAGTAAATCACTAATGACTTCCACAGGGACCGAAAGCCGGATTGATACTGTGTTGGGCTTAAGGCCTGCCAGGTGTATGAGGGTTACACTGCCTTACTGACAGGCCAGGAAGCATACTCAAGTTCAAGTTCAAGTATGTTTATTGAGATAAGCAATAAATACATCTCAAAGGGATAGAGTAGCTTAGGCTATTTCTACCCCCCCAGGAAGCATACTTTAGCCCTGAAAACATTGTCCGGAAGTAAAGCAAACTCTGTGTACTGGATCCTGAACTTCGGTTTCAACTCTTTTTACCATGTCGTAGCTCAGTCGATTAAGGCAGCATCTGGGATCGTCCCGGACACAGGTTCGAATCCTCGTCACCGGTCTTGTGGATTTGTTCTGTGTACTGTATATGCACCGAGAAATAAGGTACACCTCTCAGTGTATATGTCCTTTTATGGAAGCCGGTGGTAATACACACGTATCACGAGTGATTCCGACTGGGTTCTGAGCCGTGGTCAGGGAGGATTGACTGGGCGCCAATCCTATGACTGTTCACGGGAAGGAAAACCCCCAAGAAGGTAAAAGGAGTCATAAGTCGTCTACTTCTGTATAAGGTTCCTTACGATACGTCTGTTTGCGGAACTCTCGGGAACTGGGTTTACTCCTCCGGTCGACTGCACGAGAGGTAATGTTGGGAGACGCGTCACAAGAGCGCATGCTATCTTGAGGTTATCTTGAGATGATTTCGGGGCTTAGCGTCCCCGCGGCCCGGTCCTCGACCAGGCCTAATTTTTTTGTTACACACCCCCAGGAAACAGCCCGTAGCAACTGTCTAACTCCCAGGTACCTATTTGCTGCTAGGTAACAAGGGCATCAGGGTGAAAGAAACATTTTGCCCATTTGTCTCTGCCTCCACCGGGGATCGAACCCGGGACCTCAGGACTACGAATCCGAAGCGCTGTCCACCCAGCTGTCAGGCGTGGACAGCTGCTTAGTAAAGTAAGACTAGGCGGTACTGGGGTAGAAATAGCCTAAGCTGCTCTATCCCTTTGAGATGTATTTTCTTGTCTCAATAAACATAATATAATATACATAACATACTTGAACTTGGCGGCGAAGGCTGGGTGTTGTGTTGATGGCTTCAGCGGATTGTTGCTCTCATGTGTTGCTGGGGTTACGTTTTATATTTATGATTGTTCGGGTTATCTTGAGATGATTTCGGGGCTTTAGTGTCCCCGCGGCCCAGTCCTCGACCAGGCCTCCACCCCCAGGAAGCAGCCAGTGACAGCTGACTGACACCCAGGTACCTATTTTACTGCTAGGTAACAGGAGAATAGGGTGAAAGAAACTCTGCCCATTGTTTCTCGCCGGCGCCCGGGATCGAACCCGGGACCACAGGATCACAAGTCCAGCGTGCTGTCCGCTCGTCCGACCGGCTCCCGGGTGGTGTAAGTCTGTAAGAGATATGAAAAGGTCAGATGTGGTCTAATTTTGAGGTTGACTGGAGATATTTTAGCCAATGTTTTGACTACTTGGTAGTTTAGATGGAGTGAGAGGTCTGCTCCCCTAACATGTGCTTCATGTTAAAAAGCATCTGAGGGTTATAATATCGTGCTTGAAATTGATTCTGGCACTATGATGTCAGAAGCAGTGAAAGATAATAGTATCAATAGTACAAGACAACTGATACGTGATGTATCAGTTAGAAAATATCACTGATACATCTTGTTAATGTGATTTCTTTGTGCATATGAAGAGAAGTGTTGCAGGTAGATCTCCTGGACCACAGCCAGGGTGCATGCGGGCAGTTCGTAGAACCTTGATTTGGCTTCAGTGGAACCCTCAGGACAACTAGAGGATTCAGTTGAATTCCAGGTTGCACTGCTTTTTGAGCATGTCGTGGTGTAGTTGGTTAAGGTGTATGCTTGGGAGTACCCAGTGTGCAGGTCTCCATTATCGTCATGACTTCTACAAATTTTCTTCTGATGCAAAGTTCATTTATATCTGTCCTTTATTTATATTGATGGAATCGTTCACTATCTCGCGGTGCATAACTTAGTAAAATCAATACAATATGGTTTTGTTAAAATAAATCTTGCCTTACTAACCTGCTCACAATTTTTGTAAATGGTAACCAGCTGTTCAGACAAAGACTTCCAGTAGAGGTAGTATATATGGACGAGTCAAAAGTTTTTGATAATCACATGAAACACTGGCGAGAAAATTACGAGCACATGAAATAAACGGTGAAATATTAGAATGTATAAAACATTGATTAAAAACAAAGACAGTAAAGGATGGGAGATCACACACACACACACACAGATCACACTAACGTGATGCATCAAATGAACAAATCCACAAGGGCCGTGACGAGGATTCGAACCTGCGTCCGGGAGCATCCCAGACACTGCCTTAATCGACTGAGCTGGGAGATGTGACGCTTAGGATGTGAGTGTGACTGGAAAAGTGGAGGTGGTGAGTGGAGTACCGCAAGGGTCCGTATTGGGGCCAACCCTTTTTGTTACGCACATCAAGGACATAAATGAGAATATTACACACCACATCATAACATTTGCAGAGTATTCTGACATTTATGTAAAGTAGGAAGCGAAAACTATATTGAGGCTGTACAAATAAATGTACCTGAGCTCCTGAAATGGGCACACGATTGAGAAAGGCATGTAGGGCCTATCAGTGATATCCCAATTACCATAGCAATTCTTCAATAGATTGAAGGATAAAAAGACCGAGGGTGTTTTGATACATCAGTTATTGAAAGTTGCACAAGGGGGAGCTGTAGTAAAAAAAAAACTAGGAATAATCAAATAAACCAATGACTTCAAGGAAAAGAAAGTGGTTATTTAATGTACAAGTCTCTGGTGCGTCTCTCTCTGAAAGACTGTATCCAAGCACCGAGACATCGCCCTCAAAAGGACATATCTACATTGGAGAAAGTTTAACATAGCAACAAAATTCATCCCAGAACTAAGTAAATTCTAATATCAGGAACAGTTGAGATCCACAGGACTAATAACACTGCTAACCAGACATGACAGGGCTGATCTCGTCGAAACTTTTCAAATACTACATAAAATGATGGATATTATTCCAGACCGTTTATTTAAAAGATCAAATGTAACCTATTCAAGGGGCAACAGCTTCAAGCTCAACCAGCCACTACGTAGGACAGAAAATAGGAGAGGATTTTTCACGCAGACGGCTTTACACTCATGGAACCGCCTACCCACCGATGTCGTAAACGCCAAGGCATTATTTTAACTCAAAATCCAGTGGGAAAAACCCTCAGGAACAATGGGAGGGCGGGGGGGGGGGGACGGAACTCCTTTAACAAGCCGCCGGAGTTCTGTCTCCGTCGAGGCCACTGGAGAGATTGTGGCCCTCAGGCCCTCAGATCTGTGTGCTGCTAGTTTGGTGTATCCCAGCCTTAGTCCGGTCATTGTGCTTGAACTTGATAATGTCCATAGAGTTGGCAAGCTGGGGATGGGAGAACGGAACGAGGATGCAGAAATCTTGAGCGAGGAACTGGAGACGAGGTGAAGAGAGGAGATGAAAGATCGGTGGCCCAACCACCGCGGATTTGAACTTGAGTAGAGTGAAGTAGGGTTGAGTGGGGACGTCATTTACAGTACACACAGGGGCTGGGCTCGCAAGGAGCTGGCAGTTGATGGTAGTTGAAGGTTGATGGCTGGTACTGATGTTAGTTCATTTCGTCAGTGGTCTTCTTTTATTTTGACGATTTAAGCAAACTCTGGTCGTGGGTCTTTTTTCTTGGGCTTGTCTGTCTTGGTGGTCTGACTTCGTGTTGTCATTGTGGAGTTATCCTTGAAGGTTGATCGTGTAGTGTCGTGAAGGACATCGGCAGCTGAGTAGTGACATTTCCGTGAATGTGGAGATGGCGTTCCCACACAGACGTCCTCATCCGTTGAGTCGGATGAGTAAAAATCAGATGTGGATCGTGAAGGTTGAGCTCTTGATGGTTGAGTAACAGCAGCAGGTCTTGTTTCAGGTGTAGAAGGTTCCGTGGATGCACGTACTGTAGGTGGAGCTGTAGCAGACGGTGATGGACGAGAAGTCGTCGGGTTCTGGGTTGCTTCAGTTGCAGGAGCGGGTGTTACAGCTGCAGTAGGTTCGCAAGCGTTAGTAGCTGTCGTAGCGGGCGATGCAGCTGCAGATAGCAGCTGGTCATTGTGTTCTCTATTTCTCTGTTTTTATGCCTGGAATGTTAAGTGGCTATGTTATTCCATAGCTTTTAAGTGAAAAAAGCATCTGTTGTCTGTCGTACATTGTGGCATCTTGAGCTTTAAGCTGCTTCCCCTTGTGGGATGTTACAGGGAAGCGGTCTGGATCAATATCCTCTAACATGTTCAGTTGTCGTGTCTGACGCGTAGTGTGGATAATCATGAGGCCCTCAACCGTTCCTGGCAGGAGAGTTGACTTAGTTCAGGGACCATTCTCGCTCGGCACTGATTTTGTTTCACAACAGATATGTTCTTTTGAAGATGAGGTTTCTGAGCTTGGATATAGCAGTCCAACTCTCTCCGGGGATTTGGACGTCTGAATAATCAATTAATTTACTATCTCATTTCTCCACTAACAAATGCATTCGTTTGTGAGTTATTGTGGTGCATTATAAATCGTTCAATTTCTTATTTTAGAGAGACAAATATAGGCTTAAAAGAAACGGGTGATTATTTGATGTTGACGTGAATCTCTTCTAAATGGAGGATGATATGTTTAAGTGGACAAATACTTGCTATAAAAGAAGCAGTGTTGATGTACCATCAACATTGGAGTATGCAGCTCCAGCTTCCTGTAGGTGCAGCCTGCACATGACTGTAAAGCTGCCGCCCAGTTGGGTGGGTGTGGAGCACATGACTGTAAAGCTGCCGCCCAGTTGGGTGGGTGTGGAGCACATGACTGTAAAGCTGCCGCCCAGTTGGGTGGGTGTGGAGCACATGACTGTAAAGCTGCCGCCCAGTTGGGTGGGTGTGGAGCAAGACTAGTAACTGTGTGACTCACCACAGATGCAAAGTGCCTTGTATAGTGACTGTTGTGAGCCTCTTGTTGAATCACTTGGGTTCAGCTCCTGAACCCACTATGTTCCTCTGTAACCCCTTTCCACCACCGCCCACGGGATGGGTATGGGGTGCATAATAAAGAAAGAAATTAATTAGAGTCCATATCTAGTGAAGCACAAGACTAAAATGGAGAAGGTTCAAAGGTATGCCGCCAGATTAGTACCCAAGCTGACAGAATTGTATTTCACCTTTGTAAACGCACATGAATGACACTGTAACATACACCTCGAACACTGTTTATGTAGGACAGACGTAAATCTGTGTATTTATGTATGAAGGTTAGATTAGTTTTTTAAAAGCACTACAATCACTTCTGTGGTTGATTGTTCAATAAATCACTGAACTATATGTTTAATAGATCTCTCACCCTGTCCATGGAGAACAGAAGAAAGTGTATATATGGTGGTTAGCATTGTAAATGTGTGGCCACGTCTGTGGTAGGAAATAAGAATACATAACAACCGAGCTGAGAGGTATGAGCTACGAGGAGAGACTACGGGAACTAAACCTCACGTCGCTGGAAGACTCAAGAGTTAGGGGGGACATGATCATCACATACAAGATTCTCAGAGATTGATAGGGTAGATAAAGACAGTTCATTTAACACAGGGGGCACACGCACACTAGGGGACACAGGTGGAAACTGAGTACCCAAATGAGCCACAGAGACATTAGAAAGAACTTTTGTTAGTGTTAGAGAAGTTAATAAATGGAATGTACTAGGAAGTGATATGGTGGAGGCTGACTCCATACACAGTTTCAAATGTAGATATGATAGAGATCAGTAGGCTCAGGAACCTGTACACCAGTTGATTGACTGTTAACGTGTTTATGACGTATTAGAACGTTGTTACAACTTGCTATATTGGTTGTTATAACTGGTTAGGTGTTAAAATTTGTTCGAACGTTGTATCAACATCGTAGTTTCGGTGTGTGTTTGGCGGGTTGGGAGTTAGATAGATGCTACGGGCTGCATCTTGGGAATGTGTGTGTGAGAGAGAAATTTATGTAGCAGATATGATAGAGGAAAAAAATAGGCCGAGAGTCAGTACATTAGACAGTCAACGGTTAGAAAGGCGGGGTCCAAGAGCTAACAGGTATCCCGCAAGCACAAGTAGTACATACACCCACATGTACACTTTTTAAAAGTAAGGGTATGAGAGGAACCCAACCAGCAAGGGTGTGTGTCATGGGTACAGCAGCAGTGGACACATGAATTTAGTGGTTGCTGTAATTGACATCACTCCACCAACCAACAGAATGCCCGGGAAAGGATACAACAGACACAAGAATCAAGAGTGTAAGAGCTAAACCTTCAAATACTAGGGGGACTTTAGCCACTAGAGAAATAGCCTGGATAAATAAGGGTTCCCCCAAGGGGGTGATGAGCAGTGGAGAGGTAAACTGGTAAAGACGGTGGCCAAACACGTCTTAAAGCAGCATATTACATAACGAACAAGATTAAGAAGAGAAGGGAGTCCGTATAAACAACTTGGCCTCTACCCTTCACACACAACTATTTGCCTTCTTTCTTGTACTGAAATGTGTACAAGTCTCCAAACTTGATACATTAATTGTAAGTGACTCTAAGATACAATTGTAAAAATGTTAGTGGCTTTTATCGAGGTCCCCCCCCCCCCCCCAAGGCCGAATTACTGACTCATTACTGCCCAGAAAGCAGAGAAGTCTCCGTGGTGAAGAAGTCTCCGGCAGTCTCCGTGGTGTAGTGGTAAGACACTCGCCTGGCGTTCCGCGAGCGCTATGTCATGGGTTCGTATCCTGGCCGGGGAGGATTTACTGGGCGCAATTCCTTAACTGTAGCCTCTGTTTAACGCAACAGTAAAATGTGTACTTGGATGAAAAAACGATTCTTCGCGGCGGGGGATCGTATTCCAGGGACCATAGGATTAAGGACCTGCCCGAAACGCTACGCGTACTAGTGGCTCTACAAGAATGTAACAACTCTTGTATATATCTCAAAAAAAAAACAACAACAAAAAAAAAAAAAAAAAACCCCACAACAAACTGACTTAACTCCTGAGTACCTACTCGCTGCTAGGTGAACAGATGCATTATATGAAAGAAAATATGCCCAACCATTCATTTCTGTCCCGCCCGAGATTTGAACCCAGAATTCTCGATTGTGCGTCGAGAAGGAAGCCTACTGTACTACAGGGACCCTCACATAATAAATGAACTAAACTAACGCGCCTCAATGAAATGAAGCAAGTTTACGAAACATTAACACAATATAATACGGAATATTTAAATTATAACAAAATAAAATAACAGTTAATGTAGTGCATTGGGAATAAATTAATCAATAAACCAGCTACAATGGCAGGTTCCCAGGAAGAAAATCAGTTTCTCATTGATCAGGGGAGACTATTTTTACCAGACATGCTGCCTTGAGCGACCTTGAGGTGTCTGCACCCACTGGTGTGTGTGTGTGTGTGTGTGTGTGTGTGTGTGTGTGTGTGTGTGTGTGTGTGTGTGTGTGTGTGTGTGTGTGTGTGTGTGTGTGTGTTGATCGCTCCAACAGGTCCAACAGCGTCGCCACGAGATGCGCAAGAGCTCTGATGGTGGGTATCAACAGGTGTTTCCCAGGACCGCCGCTACTCTACTATCTAAATTATTTGATGCAAGTATACACCCAGAGGTAGACCCCCATTTATCCGTACATATACACTGATGTAGTCATTATGTATTCCGTACCCATCCCGTGGGCGGTGGTGGACCTCATACCCATCCCGTGGGCGGTGGTGGACCCCATACCCATCCCGTGGGCGGTGGTGGACCCCATACCCATCCCGTGGGCGGTGGTGGACCCCATACCCATCCCGTGGGCGGTGGTGGACCCCATACCCATCCCGTGGGCGGTGGTGGACCCCATACCCATCCCGTGGGCGGTGGTGAGTAGTAGGGTGTAAGACGCACAGACGATATTTTTTTTTTGGCCAGAGGACCCCTGTGCGGTGTAAGACGCACAGACGATATTTTTTTTTGGCCAGAGGACCCCTGTGCGGTGTAAGACGCACAGACGATATTTTTTTTTTTTTTTGGCCAGAGGACCCCTGTGCGGTGTAAGACGCACAGACGATATTTTTTTTTTCTTGGAGAAAATTCATGTCTGTGAGCCAGGGTTTTCAGGTAAATTTTGTGTCACAGATTTTAGAAGTATGGAATTCTTATGAGAAAATAATTTCCGAGACTTAGAAGTTTGTTAAGGCCTTATGGGACCAATTCAAGTAACGTATGTAGCTCTTTAGGGCTTCCAGGAGAACTCTACGGACATATTTTACATGTTTTCAACTTACAAAATCGTCTATGTAAGCCTTAGTTATTCATATAAATTTAGAAAATCACCTGTGTAAGTCATGGTTTTCAAGTCTCGTACATCACACCCCCCTCCCTCCCCCCTTACCTCGCAATCTGTCGCGTCACCTTTATTTACTTTGCGCCCAGCCAGCCAGTCGGCTCTTAATCTTATCTTATCTTATCCGTAATATCTGGACCGTCCCTCCTCTCTCTCCTCTTCCTATTTCCTTACAACTATTTTCAGAGTTTCAAATAATCATAGAAGTTTATTTATATGTTTATGACCGAATTTGTAAAAGGACCATTTTCAGAGAATATTGTCTTAGATGTTTTGTTAAGGAAAACAGGCAACTTATCCATAACATTTAGTTTTATATCCATTTACGGCTATTTCATCTGTAAAGACCAAATTGATCAGAGCCCAGTTTTAAGCTCATATTTCATCAGAGTCCAGTTTATACCGAAAATTCGCCAGAGTCTACTTTGAGAGCAATATTCGTCAGAGACAGTTTTAGCTCATATTTCATCAGAGACCATTTTATACCTAAAAATGAACAGAGTCCACTTTGTCAGCAAAATTAGTCAGAGACAGTTTTAGCTCATATTTCATCAGAGACCATTTTATACCTAAAAATGAACAGAGTCCACTTTGTCAGCAAAATTAGTCAGAGACAGTACTTAGCTCATATTTCATCAGAGTCCAATTATCAACAGAAATTCGCCAGAGTCTACTTTGAGAGCAAATTTCATCAGTGTCCTGTAATCTGTGAAAATTTGACAGAGTCCAGTTCTTGATCGAAATTCATCAGAGTCCAGTTTTCTAGCAAAATTCGCCAGAGTCTACTTTGTGCCAAATATTCAGAGTCCAGTTCATGATCGAAATTAATCAGAGTCCAGTTTTCTAGCAAAATTCGCCAGAGTCTACTTTGTGCCAAAATATTCAGAGTCCAGTTCATGATCGAAATT